CAATCGCACTAAACAATCTAATTGAATATGATATGTATTACTTGTGAGATACATTGTATTTTCATGCGATGGCCAAATCAATCTATTTATTTAAAACATAAAAGATTTTTAATATTGATATGGTCACTATAGGATGTTGTTAGGTTAGCTAATTACGTAATAACTTAAGACAGAAGGACCCTTAAGAATGGACTGAGTAAATTAACCGACTTGGTATTACATGGATCTCACAAAGTTTTACGGTAGAAGAACTTAGTTGCGAAACTTGGTTTTTTTATAAGTTCTGTTTTTGACGTTACCTCATTTCTTTTTGTAGATAGTTATATCTAGGCACCTATCTACACCTTTTATTCCATTATATAATACATATACAGGTACACTGATTTATTCACTGCAAACGTAACTTTGTAATCCTATATATTTGTATGAGGACCATAATTGCAAAATATTTTATTTTTTTCTTGATTTATACACGAAACTCTAATTGTATTCTAAATTTAAAGCTTATATGTATGCTAGAAGTGCCTTAGAGTTTTGATGATCGGTCAGTCAGTGAGTGACAATATTAAGAAACTGACTAGTTATAATTCTTAAACTACTGGTTCAAATTGCATGAAATTTGAAATATACCGTGTCTATACAATGCCTGCTTGGTTACTGAAAATTCAAGCTTCTAGTTTTATCCACAACGAAGTTATAGGGGGTCGAAAATGACCTGAACTGCTTCGAAAAAATGATGGTACGGCCGTGCCGCTTTTTTGCTCGACTTGGCGGGGGCACGGTAGTGTAGATTTATTGCACGTTCTGGCATGGTACATAATATAATATCTTATTAGTTATTAATTAGATCTTACATTCTTGCGATATCATCACTTATATACTAAACTATTATTATTATTATAATTTAATGAAATAAATTAAAAAAGAGGCTTGATTAGAAAATTCAATGCGTCAAGTTTTTAAATTTAAGAAACTTCGAATACTTACCTATAAAAAATCGATAAATTGTCAAATTTACAATAAACACTTAAATCAAAATTTAATTAACAGGTTATTCCATATTTCACCATTATAAAATGCACTTTATTTATTTTTGATGCACACCGCACCGCCGCGCCGCGCCGCCAAGTGTTTTTTTTTTAGTTTTTGTCCATAGAAAGATTACCTTGAAGAGATCGTTTTGAGCGATAACACAGCGCGTCGTACCTGCAGCTTATTTTAGATTTTTTTTATAACTTTGTTAAGGTGTTGATTTAATTTTTTTCAAGCTGCTGCTATATTATGGCCGGAACTGCATTTTGTTTCTTAATCGAAGATAATTGCAGGTTTCTATGGACTACAACATCCACTTAACATCCGGTAAACTGTGTGCCCGATTGGCACACTTATTACATGAAAAATATATATACCTAGGTATAGTTGTATTTTAATAATTAAGCCGTAAATAAATGTACTAATAATACTTAACGTAATAAATACAAGTAGGAAAATTTATAATCCATTGGAAGGACCCAGTATAAACATGATTTGGCACTGAGAGTTCTTGGGAACAAGAGACCTTTTTCCTCCTTTGTTTATTTACGTCTGGTTTTTCCATAGGCATTTATAGTTGGCAGTCCCGAATAATGATTTGTAGACTTATTGGTCTAATGTCCAGCTCGTAGAGACAGACTAATCTGTCTGAATATTTTTTAAATTTAGTTAAATATCTACTATATATATTGGCCTTTTACTTATGTTCCTTTATATCTATATCCTACTAATATTATAAACGTGAAAGTTTGCGAGCATCTATGGATATTTGTTTCTCTTTCGCGTAAAAACTACCAAATGGATTTTAATAAAACTTTACAATTATATAGCTCATACATCAGAGTAACATATAAACTATAATGAATAAAGATATTGTGTAAATTGGTCAAAATATAATGATAAATGTCAAGTAAGTCGGAAAAAAATGCGACGTCTCTCTGAACACGTATCACGCAAAAACCTGTGAGCCGATGTTATAAGAAGTAACTTGGGCTACTATTATTTTAGGGTTCCGCGCAAAATAATTCCACGCGGGTGAAGTCGCGGTAAACAGCTATTATTTATATAAAAGTGTCTCCAGTGATTCACACATCTATCAACGCAGAGCCCAAACCGCTTGACGTAGAAGTCTGGAATTTGGACAGTAGCTACCTCATATGACGTAAGCATCCACTAAGAACGAGTTTTGAAAATTCAACCCCTAAGGGGGTTAAATAGCGTGTTACAGTTTGTAATAAACTTTTTATTTTATGAGAAGATTGACTCGAAACTAGTTGAAAGTATTCTTGAAATAAAGTAAACGAATAGGGATTTTGCGATTTTTCTAAACAACCACTTACGAAGGGGCCAAAGGGCGATCAAATTTGTATGGAGGAAAAATAATTAATATTCCCTTTTATTAATAACTGGGGCAAATTATTTAGATTAAAAATAAAAAAGTACAATTTTTTTATTTTTTCAAAAATTTTCTTTGAGAGAGTTGAGAGAAATTGGGACAATAGCTTCCTTTTGTTACTAAATCATCCTACCTACACATACCTAGAAATTAGCTTTAAAAATTCAACCCCTAAGGGGGTGAAATAGGGTGTTCCAATTAGTACGAACCTTTTTATTTTACTGTGCGATTTTGCGGGGCTTTTTTTAATACAGAGAGGAGAAAATCTTCAAAAAAACACCGGTCAAGTTGTTGTAAGACCGGTAGTGTGCGATTTTTACCCGCTAAAACCTTCTCTCTCTCTTAAGTACCAAGCACCACGGGACCGCGTTAGCATTATATAGCATTACTTGATGGTGCTGGTACTCCTCTTCATTGCTACTATTCCTCCGTTTCTTCTTCTTTTTCTTCCTTCTTCTTCATCAACAGGACCTTCCTTACATACGCCGTCATCGCTGTTCAGTTGTCATTTGTTACCAACATCCAAGCAACGACCTCTTCCAGCCTCTGAAGCACCTTCTTCTCGCTCTGCAAGCATAGCCGTGTTGCAGACCAGCGCTGACAGACAAAGAAAGTGTGCTCGGTGGAGTCAACAACGTCCGGACAATACCTACACTCACTGAGGAACATTTCGGATTTTCATACGATGTAAGTAGGCATTGAACTGTCCGTGTCCAGTAAGGAATTATGTGAGGCAGTAGTAGTACTACCTCTCCATGTTCCCGTAAGACCCAGTCACGGACTCGCCCAATAAGCATATGAGTCCAACGCCCGGTTTCCCCGGATTCCCAACGCCCTGGCTAGAGCACAAAAGACTCCTTGCGTTCTCGAGTTCTTACATCCATCAACGGTGCTACGCCAGCCCGCCGAGCGTCCCAGATGCGCCTCCTCTCGAATCCCAAAACGTCGATTGGGATTTTACCTGAGATGACCAACACGGCTGCCTCCGATACCGTTCGATAGGCACAGGCTATCCTCAGCGCAACTCCGTAGAGCATGATCGAGTTAGCGACACTCATGAGAGCTCATTTGCGGCTGCTCCTTGGTGCCCCATCATTTGGCGTTAGTTTCGATACGATCGTCGCTCCGAGGTATTTCAGAAACCCCCGACCCTCGATGTGTTGATCCATGACGAGACCCTAAAAGGACCTCGGAAATTACTTTTGAGCTATGAGTACCACGACCTCCGTCTTCGCTATGGTTAACGACATACCATGTTCATTCAGCCAGCGTTGATTTTGACCGCGACAAGTCTCGCCAATCCCTACGCTTCGCCACAGCTCTTCGCAAGGATTACGCCGCCACGTCGTCAGCGAATCCCTCCAGCAGTACCTCAATCGGTAGGTCGAGACGTAGAAGTGCATCGTAAAGGATGATCCAAAGCTCCGGTCCTTAGACCGAGCCATGTGCTGCTCCCCCATTCAGCTTCTTCATGACCTCTCTCATAGTAGTCTCTCATACCAAAAAACGATCACATAGGTAATCACTTATGATACGGATGAGATACTCGGAAACACCTAATTTCTGAAACGCCTTCATAATGTCCGTCCATTTTGCAGAATTAAATGCATTTTTGACGTCAAACGTTATCATTATGCACACGGGACGGTACTTGCGGTTGCCCGACCAGGCAGCCCTAGCAAATAAAAACGTTTCGGAAATGGCACGAATTAAAAACCATGTTGGCTATCGGCCAGGCCACATCGGCCACTTTTTCCTAGTCGATTCCTTATTAGGCTCTCGAAAATCTTTCGAGGAAAACGAAAAACATTCAAACAAACTGTAACACTCTATTTCACTCACTTAGGTGTAGAATTCATTGTATCAATTTCACACTTCTACTTCCAGCGGCTTTTAGGTTCGAAAACCTAAATCGAACAAGGGCCAAGATGTCACTCATGCATACGGCTAAAACGTAGTGACCTCAGAATACTATTACTCTCTACCGAGAGGTAGTGACTATAATAATATTACCTATTCTGTACTATAACTATATTATAGTCTTTTCCTACGGCCTGCGCCCTTCTGCGCTTCGCAATTGTTAAAAAAAAAACAACCGGGATTGCAAGCGCCAGTTCTAACGCATAATTAATACATGAATTCATGTATTCATAGGTAAAACTTTGAGTTTATATCCATAAAAATAATTTTCAGACATACAGGCTTCATGTTTTAAAGCACCGTCAATACATCGGTGTTAAAAATCATTTGCTTGGATTAATCTCAACAGTGGCGTATAAAATTTAATTTTCTGGAAATGAGCCTCGTTTTACTTCGTTCAGTCGCCTCTTTCAAACTAGAAAAAATCGGGGATAATCCGGACAGATGGCAGTCCTATTCGCATAAAATTCAAAATAATACATATAAAATAATCTGTCGTATTCTATTTTACAGTACAGAGCTACAGAACATAGATTAGTGTTTATATTCGAGAGTGCAGAGCCAGTAGTCATTGAGCCTCCGAGCAAGTACAACGCTTTTAATATTAATTTAACCTTTTGAAGCTTATAAAGTAATTAAGTGTCAATAGGAAATGTTTAAATCGTTCAAATTGATATATTTAGCCCTAACGTGTATTGGCAGTGTCAGCGTTATACTTGCAAGTAAGTCTATATTTTTTATTTGGCCATTATACTACTGAATAATTAAAACATATTGAATATACATTATAAATAAATTGAAATTGGACCACTTGAAATTCTATTATTATTAATGAAATTTAATGAAATTTATTTATTAAAAGTAAAAGAACATCAAAATTACTGGGAGTTCGAATGTTTTATAAATACATTTTTTTTGTTTTATGTGTAAATATCAAAGTTTAAACAGTGGTAAACATTTATGCATCTGAACGGGTGTAAAACTCCATAGCAGTTGCTTAAATCATAGATATCGATTGTTTTATGAAAAAAAAAAAACTTCAAATATAATCGGACTTTTGAAGTTGATAAGGAATAACCGGCCAAGTGCGAGTCGAATTCGCGCACGAAAAGTTCCGTGCCATCGTAGTACACGTTTCTAGTAGAGTTTTTAGGTTTAATTGATTAATTTTTTTATTATTTGTTGTTATAGCGGCAACAGAAATATACATTCTGTGAAAATTTCAACTGTCTACCTATTACGGATCATGAGATACATCCCGCTGACAAACAAACCGGGCGGACGTCCTTGTGTCTGTACTTTGTAGTTACTATTAAGTTGATTTATTTAGTTTTAGCTAACAAACACTAGAAAAGAACAAAGTCGAAACTGTCAAACATACAACCACCTCCTCTCCTGTAGTTTGTATACACAGTGTATATATAATGCAATGTATTATTATCACCAAATAACGTTAGAATATCATTTAATTTAAGCTTGTCTATGAGGCAAAGCAAACACAGCAAATACCTGTTATTCAATATATAGGGAAATTACAGTCGACGCGAAGATTCATTTATCTAAACTAGATAGCAAACTTGTATGTGATCCTGTAATGGGGTTAGTGTGTCTGACATTGAAACTATCTTTGTTTTGCAGAAGAGTTAAGAGCAATTTAGAACCTAGGTCCGAAAGAATCCCTTAGAGAAAAATTTTAAGAAATAAATATAGGTACATATTAACTTTGGCCTCGCCGTATAATTAAGTAAATTTAATGTATGCACCGTTACCGTTATTACCTATTAAATTCTACTGCTGAACATATGCCTTCCCCATAGATTGCGCAAGCTAGTTATATCAGTAAATCGACACCAAAGAGTCAGATGGGACAATGTATATTATGCTTTAAAAACAAAGTCACAGAAAATATGCTGGACTTATCTACTAAAAAGTAGAAAATACTTATTAAGCAAAAGTTGTTTATTATATGTTATTATACGACTAAGGAGTACATTATTAATGATAACCCCCGGAAATGAGGTGATCGCTACCATTTCATTTCTAAATGTTTTCATAATAAATTGTATAAAATATTATATTGTAAATTAATGTTTGAAAAAAAAAGTTATGTTGGGTTTTTTGCTGGTTTTTTTCCAGGACATGTTTATCACCCTTACACTTATAAAATATTAACTTTTGCTCCTAGCTTTGCTTGCGTGGGATTTACTGAGGTATTTTTCTTTTTTTATTATGACTGGGCGGACATGGTAAATGGAGAGGCCCTTTTAAGAAGGATTTCCATCCTTCTTTCATTGTCATCACATCTTTTTTATCAACATATGGTATACATCCAACTGTCGAGACCTATGAGGTCTTTCTGGCTGGTAAAGTACTTTTACTCAGAATTGAATAAAAAAGTATCGCACGTCCCATTCCATGCCATAGTTACACTCCAACTTACTGTAAATAAATCTGTTTTGTTCTTAAGCATATTTGACCACCAAACATCCAAACACAATTCTTTTTACAAACACAAACTTATTCTGATTTGGAAAATGAACGTTGGCGTAGTCTAACTTACTCATACTGATTCTATAAAAACTTATTAGATAGGCACCATGCGCATCATGCTGAATATCATCATGTCCATATATACTATAATTTTTTTTGATAAAATTGAAATGACAAACGAACATACAGTCTAGCTGTTTCAATTAGCAATCCAATTAACTTTAATAGTTTCTACTGTTGTAGTGTTGCCACAAAATAAGATAAGTGACTGTTTCTAAGTCATGCAATAATTCTTTATCAGAACAGTTCAGATAGTGGACACAATTAATCATATAGTAGATGACTAGTTAACAAATTCGAGACATATATTATGTTCTGCATGATGTTGTTACAAGTTACACCGGTTTTGTAAATAAACAGGAAAATCCTCGTTAAAACTCATAACCAATAAAGTCTTTGATGAATTTAATATTACTATATATTTTAAATTGTATATTTGGTTTAAACCGATCAATATATATATATATATTTTCTTTTTCATTTTTCTTTCAACGTGGCAGAGTCACGCTGCAGACTAACTGTTGCATCACGAATGGTTCGGCTCGACCGGGGAACGACCACGCTGCCACAGAATACCAGCGTAAAATAATAGCTAATGCTGCTGTGTTTCGTAAATTGAGTGTAGATAACCGAAGATCGTTTTTACTGGAAACGAGGTGGACTGCCTCGATTCCAGTGAAAACGATCTTCTTTTATATCGATATTCTTCTCAGACCTCTAGCATCAGCATATTGATTTTTAATTGAGAATAAATGTAGATGTCTATGAGCCACAGCATCCTTTTACCATCAGGTGGACTGTGTGATCGTTAGCCACTCTTATTCTATACTAGCTGTAATTTATTAGGCCTCATGCCCATTAGACGGTATTTCGCCGGAGCTAAGGCCGGCATCAAATCGGGTCTAGGTCCGGTAGCGTTAGTCCGTGGCATTTAGTAAAAAACTGTTATCTTGACATTACAAACAAACACTTCAATTTTTTTTATTGTACAGATAACAAGAAAAGGTGTTAGGACTGGGTAGGTACCACACTCTCCCAGAAAATATGCTTGGCGGTATGGGAAGAACTAACACCTCGTTTTAGGGTTCCGTATCTCAAAAGGAAAAAACGGAACCCTTATAGGATCACTTTGTTGTCCGTCTGTCTGTCTTTCTGTCTGTCTGTCTGTCTGTCTGTCAAGACCCTTTTTCTCAGGAACACGTGGAGGTATCAAGCTGAAATTCATATGAAATACTCAAGTCTACTGTCCCTTAGAGCTGTGAAAAAATCAAACTTCTAAGCCAACGCAATCAAAAGATACAGCCGTTTATGCCGTAAATTTTCGACATTCGCAAGGGAATCAAAACCTACAGGGTACTTCCCGTGATCTCAAAATCTTGAAATTTGATACGAAGCAACGTTTTAAAGCACAGATAAAGGAAAAATGGCGAAAAGCATAAATTATTAGTTACATCATATAATCATTTTTTTTAATAATTTTAAACTAATATACTTACAAATTTGTCCGGAACCCTCGGTGCGCGAGTCGGACTCGCACTTTGCCGGTTTTTTTTATATATAGAAGGAATGCAGCAGTGTACGCACTGGCGTACACTGCTGCGATCCGGTTTGAAGGTGATGAAGAAGGTTATAAGGCATTTCATCTTAACCTCAGATGTCACCACACATCGTAGCCTTCTTTGTTTGTAGTTGTTTGTAGCCACTAACCATCAGGTGGATTGTAAGCTCGTTTGTCACTCCAATATTATGAAATCTATACATATACAAATAAATAAAATTGAAGTGTCTGTTTGTAATGTCAAAATAACAGATTTTTACTAAATGCATATGAAAGTATGTACAGTACTTATAACAAGAATACAATTTTTAAAATTTTTGTCAGTCTGTCTGTCTGTTTGTTTCGCCTAATCTCCAAAACGGCTTGACCAATTTGGCGGGACTTTCAGTGGAAAATAGCTAATGTTATAAGGAGTAATTTGGGCTACATTTGTTTAAGAAAATAATTTAAAAAAAATAAAACCCATAAATTCCAATCCTAATAAATTCCAGGTGGACGCAGTCGCGGGCAGCAGCTAGTTAAAAATAAAAATAATTTAGTTGTTAAAATAATGCTACCACATTCCCAACCATAAAATTTGGGGGACAGTGTTCCATCCACCACATCCTATTTAACTAACAACAACAACGTACAATGGTGGTGTAAGAATATCCATTACCCTATATCATCCCGTGGGTGTCATAAGAGGCGACAGAGGGAAACAAATCAGGAAATGGGCAGCGGCGTGTTCCTAATAATTACTAAAAAATAAAAAAACCTTTGATTGTCAACCCGCCGTCCAAGCTTGGCAACTATCGCAAACATTCCCCTATGGAGCAATCTATGGGTAGGCCTATGTTCAGCAGCGGACTTTTGGTAGACTGTAACTATAAGTAAAAATACACATGTACCTACCAAGTATTTTAAAAGAAACTTCTACTATATTCATATCCTTGTTTTTTTTTGTTTACAGAAAACTGCGATGATTGCATACTTATCACCTCATGTCCGGGAGCAGTGCATCTCGCAGTTCATGAAAAAAATGCAAAAACAGAAGATCTCATTAAACAAAGTCTGTGTTCATTGGAGAAAGTAAACGGACTTCCAAAGGTATTTATCGATTGTATGATTACTTTTTATGTAAAATACGACTATCGACTGCGTCGTCTTGTCTCTTCCTCGTTTGGGCTTTTTAAACGCGCTTTTGTTAGCTTCGTGTATGTCTATCTATCTATTTATCTATGTAACAAAATCTTTTAATGTAATTTTCACCAACCCGTAGACGGCCGATTGACTTAAAAATTTGCACTCGTATCAAAAACCGATGTCAATACAATAATTTAATAATTTTATCTTAGTATCTCCAAATAACAAAATAATCATCAGGATCATCACAGCTCAATGCGTGTTGTTTAAGTTTTTGAAGTTATACTTCTTTTGGCAAGTTTGAGAAAAATGGTGAGAGTGAATTTTTTACAATGCACGCGCACACCGACACCTAAAAACGACACCATGAAGTTGTTACGACGCGCGTGCACACTAAATCCTAAAAGCGACAACTTCAGTTGGTAATCGTCTGTCAACTGTCAAGTTTTCGTGAGAACTATATCAAATAATATATAAATCTATAAAACCTGTCGTATTTTAGTTATTTTCGTTGTACGCTAAAGAAATGTAACTTCTTACGCGTGTACATAAAATACATAAAGAAGTATAACTTCTTACATATGTAAACAAAAAAATTTTTTTTAAAATTCTTATATTATATATATATATATATATATATATATATATATATATATATATATATATATATATAATTCTAAAATTCACATTATCTTTTACAATAAAACTCGTATGAAAAACCTTCTTAATATTATCTTGCCTATTATTTTCTGCTATGTTTTATCATCTTGAACAAAACAATTAGCTCATTTTCAAGTCATGAACTAGGTGTGTTGCTCCGAGTTTCCACAAGCACCAGTAGAATTAGATCACCACCCGAATCTCGAACTGCTACCAAAAGATTGTGGTGAAATCGAAGGCAGTCGAATTGTGGGCGGCGAGGTTGCAAAACTCTACGAATTTCCATGGATGGTGCTCATTTCTTATGACACTCGTACGTATTTAATGTTATTTTTTACCTTGCACTTTATTAACAAGTCTTGTAAAATTTATTTTAATGGCGAATTATATGAATTTAGTACGGCTCGGTAGTACAGTGGCTAAGCTTCCCGTGCAGTACAAATGTTTTTATGGCCTACAAATAACTGTAGTGGTTCCGTTTGTTTGTCCATGTGTAGTATTTAAAACGCTTCTACGATACAGAAGACAATTCTACTGTGAGGTTAACGTATTTAAAAAAAAAACAACACCGCTATCAAACTCAGAACGGTTATATTATGAGTATTGATAGCAGATCCGCAGAAACAATTGCAACCGAGCTTAAATACGACTACTTTCATGGGTATGGGTCACGACAGTGAACGAAGAGCGTATTCGAACGTTTTATTTACGCAGTTTGCGCCCTTAACGATTTCTCTACGGTCGCTATATAAATTGATATATTTAAAAAAATTACTGTTAGACTAGGACTTCCCCTGCATAGTGTAGGCGTTTAGTTGTCCCGTGCGGGATTCGAACCTACACAACTCTACTGAGCCGTCTGAATTAATTTGCGCCCTCATCTCATATGTCCGACTAATTTGATGCATTGCTTTAAACTATTGATTCTGATGTACGTGTTGTCCGAAGTACGAAAGTGAAACTTCTTTACGACATATCATTTTCTTCTATTTTATATTTTATATAGATAGGTTAAATAATAGTATACTCATGCAGCCCTGGCGGTTAAGCGTTACAAGAAAACGTGAAACTTTTTAAATACCGTACTAATTTTCTCTATAGATAAAGAAGTTTCACTTCAAAATAATTTCCACATGATAGCTTCTGAAATTAGAGTTTTAATTCTTTAGTACACTAAGTCTCAGCACCGACTTCTGAAGCTAGACAAAATTATTTAATTCTTCAAATATATAGTATAATGTTTGTTTGTTCGTATTTTATGCGCTGCCATACCGTTGATCAGATTGCGGTAAAACTTTGTCAACTTATTGCTTGCACTTGCGGGAAGATTATAGGCATAGTACAAAATATCACACCCGACAAATTTATTTGAAAGTTGTTTATCATTCAATTTTAATGAATGTATTGTAATTCCTAGTTAAACAATATAACTCTCTACCAAATTTGAAACGATATTTGTACAGTTATTTCTTCTGCGGCAGCTACGCGCCGGGACCGGTTCTTTATAAGTTCTTTATAATTATTGATGTCAGTTTTTAATTTTTATTAAAAGTTGCAATTTTAAAGATTGTTACTGTTTATTTCATTACTAAGATTCATGTGAAATTATTTATTACATTATTGTTAAAAAAAAATTGCAGGTATTGGTCGCGAGTTTCTTTGTGGAGGCAGTCTCATAAGCCCATTGTATGTGCTAACAGCAGCCCATTGTGTCCATGGTAGAAAAATTGCAGGCGTGAGAATAGGGGACTACGATTGGAGGAGTAAAATTGATTGCGAGAAAGACACTAACTTGTGTGAATCATATTACCAGGTAACAAATTATTTTTAAATTTATGTAGAAAAGAGCCGTGATATTTCAGGGGCTAAGTACTTCTCATGTTTTTATAGTACGCGGGGAAACTGAAGTTAAATCCTGGATGGAACCACGGAAATTGTTATACTCACTACATACTCTTCATTTTTTCAAATTTAAAATTAATAAAAGGAAAAGAAAAGAAAATTTATAGAAGAATCAAGTGTAGTACTAATTTACTAACTGCATAAAGTAGACACATTATTTCAATAGTCATTCAGTGGCCACTCAGGTTACATTACTTCTTCAACATAGATGCTCAAACTTTGTCAGAAAATACAGTTACTTATACCAATATTTTTTAAAGAAATTTAGGAATAAAATGGCAACATTTTGGCGGCTGGGATAAATCCGAACAATTCCTCAGAGTACTCCCCGTGGTAAATGCGAAACAAAATGCAAAAAGATGCAACATCTCTTCGCAGCGCCAATGATTCGAGCCGAACGGAAAGGACTCGGTCGTCGACGATTCGAGCCGCTCTGCGCTGGATGCGGTCAAGTGGAAGAAGCTGGCACTGGGGAGCCCCAGCCCAGATATGGGAACAGTATTCCATGTGAGGCCGAACCTGCGCCTTGTAAAGTTGCAGGCGTTGAGCCGGCATGAAATACTGTCCCGCTCTGCTGAGCACGCCAAGCTTTTAAAAGGCCAATTTAGCCTTCTCTTCCAAGTGACCACGAAACTGCACGTCACCCGATATGTCGACGCCGAGGATTCCGATACTGGCTGAGGCAACAAGGGAGCTGCTGGCAACCTTGAAACTGAGGAGATACGACAAAGGGGTTCTTTTTAGCGGTAAACGCGCAAACTTGTGTCTTCTGAGGATTAAACTGGACTAGATTTAGTCGCCCCCAATCCGAGACTTTGTCCAGCAAAGACAACTTCAGACACAAGTTTGTTCCGGTACTCGGTGACGTTTTCCCGAGAAATATTGGCACGGCCGGTGTATAGAGCATCACCAGTGCTGTCATCCGCATAGCAATGAATGCTACCGGCTTGCAACATATCATTGATATGCAGAAGAAACAGCTTTGGTAATAGCATGCAGCCTTGTGGAACACCAGCGTTAATAGGCTTGTAGTCGGAGCATGCACCGTCTACAACAACCTTGATGCTCCGATCTGCAAGAAAGCTGGTGATCCAATTGCATAATTTCTCCGGAAACCCATAAGAAGGGAGCTTCGAAAGAAGCGCTTTGTGCCAAACCCGATCGAAGGCCTTCGCAATGTCCAAACTAACGGCCAATGCCTACCCCTCGGACTCTACTGCCTCTGCCCATCTATGAGTTAAGTAGACCAGAAGATCACCAGCTCGACCAGATCAACCCCGACGAAAACCGTACTGGCGGTAACTAATCAGCTGGTGATCCTCAAGGTACCGCATGAGGTGGCAGTTTATAACGGATTCCATTATTTTGGAGAACAAGGGGGTGATGGCGATAGGCCTGTAGTTGAACGTGTCTGAGCGGTCGCCTTTTTTAGGGATCGGGTAGACAAAAGCTGTCTTCCATGATTTCGGGACTACGCCTAGGGAGTAGGAGTACCGGAAGAGACGCGTTAGAACCGGTGCCAACTCTGGAGCACACGTCCTCAACACAATTGGGGGGATTCCGTCAGGCCCACTCGACTTGTGGATGTCAAGGGAGAGAAGTGCTCTGCGAACCGAGCGCTGTGAGAACCGCACATCCGGCATGGAGCACTCACACCGCGGGATGGTCGGCGGTGTGTTCCCCCCGTCATCAACAGTCGAGTTGAACGCAAAAAGGGAGCCTAAAAAGTCAGCTTTCTCTTTTGCGTCGTGGGCCAGTGAGTCGTCCTCCCTGTGCAGAGATGGTAGTGATGGCTTACAGAAATTCCCTTGGACAGCCTTGGCGAGAGACCAGAATGCACGGTTCCCGAAGGAAGGAGAACTTGTTTCTCGCCAATTCTGCCCATGTGCTCCGACTTTGCCTTGGCAATAACTCTTTTGAAGGACCTGGAGGCGAAGTTATACTTCTTTTTAAGTATGCTGGTGTTTACATCCCGAGTCGCCGAAGCCGTAGCCCAGGCTTGATAACACTCCTGCTTACTGCGTAATGCAGTCTTACAGGAGCGACCAAACCAAGGCTGAGATCTGCCTACGATGGTTACCACAAATGATAGAATAAATAGTTCCATTCCCTGTAGCACAACATCAGTGACAGAGTCAGCAACAGCGCTGGGATCATCCGGCGAGAAGCAAACCCGCCCCCATGGGTAGGAAGCAAAGAAAGACCGCATTCCGTCCCAATCCGCTGACCTGTAATGCCAAACACGGCGGCAACCTGCAGAACGCAACCGCGAGGGGAGCGTGAGTGGTACCATACTCCGGATCAGACAATGGTCCGAAGAGCGGACCATTGTCTGATCGACGGAAACCTGATATCTGTCCGGATGAAAGGTCAGCAGAAGGTCCAACAGGGAAGGTGTATGATCCTCAACATCTGGAATCCGCATAGGCGATGTAACCAGTTGTGTCAGACCATATGGCAAAGCAAAGTCATAAACAGATCTCCCCGCATGATCGGTTAAACGTGAACCGAGCCATTCGGCGTGGTGGGCGTTAAAATAGCCAGGGATCACGATCTCTGCGGATGGGACCTGTTGTGTGCAAGGAATCTGTAGCCATTTGGACGTGGTTGATGAGTCGGTCTGTTTCGGTATTACCGCTATGGGACCTATAGAGGCACCCGTAGACGCGCGGATGGTCGTTGCTGTCTACGCGTAGCCAAAGGATGGACAAGTTTTAACCTTCAAGACTGCCGAGGCGTCGAGAACAGATGTCCTCTCTGACATACACGCAAACTCCAGCCCGAGGCACAAAGGAGTGCTCCAATTTGTACCTCGGGTAGGAGAGATACGAAGTATCAGCCGGAGAGGACACCTGTATAAGTTGTGTTTCGTATGGTGAATGTAGAGAACCGGAGACCCTTTTTACTGAAAATGAGGCATTCCATCTTAGTCCTCACGGGTGACAACGCATCTGCATTTTGATTGCAAACAAAGATAGATGTAGATGTCTATGGGCCGCAGCAAACACTTACCATCAGGTGGACTGTGTGCTCGTTTGTCACCCTTATCCTATAAAAAAAGTACCAAGTATTATACCTTTTTGAAATCTACATGAGTTGCGCCAACTATTTAATACAGTTGCCAAGTCCATGTGCAGGGTACAGAGTACAGGGTGAAGGGTCCAACTTGCTCTATAAATCTTTAATGCTACCTTTTTACACGTTTACGAACTTGTATGTATTTATTTCTACTAAACCGTAATAGGCACTGAAAACTAAAATAGTAGGTATAGTAGGCATACCATTAGGCTATACAAAACAGGGGAAAAAAATTAAATCGGTCCTCATTTGCAGCATTAAAAATATTGACGCAAATGGTGATTTTCTGGAAAATTTATAAATCAACCTTTGAACAGTCCTTCCATGGTATACAACCCCCTTTCGTTTGATCGTTACATTCTGGGACACATTGTATACATAGAAATAAAACTGAAGTGTCTGTAATATTAAAATAACTGGTGGCTAGTAATGATGATAATATATATATATATATATATATATATATATATATATATATATATATATATATAGCTCGAAAAATCAAAAATTGATGTGGAAAAAGGTTCTAGAGTTTAACATCATACCAATAGTGAAATCTACGTTAAATTCCACTAGATGAAGTTTTTGGATGTTAGTGACTCAGGATCATATTTCAATCTGTGGAGAACGCCTATGTTGAACTAATTTTATTATACGTTTTTTGTAGTGGTGTCTCAGGAGGCCCACCTTTCAAACTTCCTAGTAGGAAGTTACAAAAAATAGTAAGCCTGGAATATGAAATAGGAATGCCTTTAAGTTTTTCATATTTAAAAATGCTCTGACAATATTTATAACCTATATAATTCATAACAAAAAAACTGTTGGATCGATTTCCAATGGCCTAATCATATAATTGTGCATCGAATGAAAATATTACGACATCGATAACATATTTGTTTTCGAGTTAGTCAGTATTCAGTTAGTAGAGTTGTAGTCGAGTTATACCCAGACATAGACATTCTTCTAAAAACGACCCTGGAGACCTTAAAACGTGAAGATATATCAAAATTTGGACTTTAAAGAATCTTACCCATAACATAACTCTAGCCTTAATATTATGCTTCTACAATCCATTAATATTATATGTATATTATAGGAGTAATATTATATATTCCTTATTTTAAATATAACTTTTAGGATATTGGCGTATCAGAAGCACTTCCCCACCCGGCGTACCAAGGCCCACCCGTTGTACGTAACGACATCGCACTTTTACGGTTGAGGAAACCAGTGAACCTTACAGTCAGTAAGTATTAAGGAGATATCTCAAATTTTCAAAAGTTGACGATATTTTCATTTATTATTATATAATGACTAGTGAAATCCGGCAAACCTTGTCCCGCCTGTGCAATCGGTTGAACGGTATAGGAGTTGATATACGAGTATTTCAGCGTCAAGTACGGGTGAGTTACCAGCTCACTTGCCGAGCATGATCTTTTTTGATGGTCTTTCAAGGTTCCAAACCAGTTTGTGCTTAAATTGCATCTTTATAAAACCTAACAAAGTATTTAGAAATTTTGACGAATAAAAAAGAGGTCTATGGTGGTGTGAGCTCCAAAGAATACTTATAATATAGATTTATTTATTTTTATATTAATCAGACTTTTATAATAAATGTCTTCAAATAAAAATAAAATATAATTAATGCGACATGTACCATCCTTGCCGAATCCCTATGATGGCCGAACAATCACTTAGAATTAGTTGAGCTCTCATTTTTGTGGCATCTTAAATATTGTAAAATGCTTAAAAATTTTCAATATCAATATATTTTTATGTGGTAGAGTCATGGTGTAGCTATATTAATTGTACGGCTCGGCTCGACCGGGGAAGGACCACGCTCTCACAGAGTACCAGCGTAAAATAGCAGTTAATTTTGCTATTTTACGCTGTTACTCTGTAACCGGAGACCCTTTTACTGGAAAAGAGGCATTCCATTTTAGTCCTCACAGCTGACAACGCATCTGCCTTTTGATCCACAAACGAGGATAGATGTAGATGTCACACATCCACGTAGTGTCACAGGCATGTACGGCCACAGCAACCACTTACCATCAGATGGTTTACAGTTTTTTTTTAATTTTACTGCCATCAGTTACTGACTTTAATTCCTAAAATGCCGCCCTCTAAAATCTACTGCCGGGGTGCATGGCCCCACACCCCTGCTACTGAATCCCCCCCAGGCCCCTAAATCGAAGCCTGTCCCACAAGGCTCGTTCTCCTTCGCCGCTGACTTCTCACTAGTCTGCGGCCTCATCAGCAACGTTGATGTGGCTGAATTATCCTCCTTGGCTCGCAAACTCCGCGGAGTCACTTCACGTCAGGACAAGCTCAACGCCACGAATAAGCACATAGGATTTATCGACGCAATTTGGTCTTTCTAGTGCGCCTAAACACTTCTATATTAATACCAGAATGGTAGCATAAATCTCGGTAAAACTAAACCACGCTCTCTAACTGTCGCGGTCTTTAATGCGAACGACCTCAGAGATCAAAAAGACGAGATCGCGCTCTTCCTGCACAACCACGATGTAGACGTAATGTTAGTGCAAGAAAATTTTTTGAAACCTAGCCATCGCGATCCTAAGATCGCAAACTACATCTTAGAAATGATAGGTTGACCAGCCGTGCAGGCGGCACCTTCATCTACTAAAAAAGGTCCTTGCGCTGCGTACTGATGGACGCCACCCCCCTTATTATGTTAATCAGAAGTATTTATGTTTTAATTTCATTTGTTTATAAGTTGCATTTTATTTAAGTTAATGTTGTATTTTTGATTTAAATTGAGAGATTGTGTCAATATATGCATTAGGTATTATGTTTAATATTTATATAATTTAATTTACAAATTAATTATTGACAAAAATATATCTGGTAATACAGAACAAATAATTTGGATAACATCTAAAACTTTCTTCATAAATTAATATTGTAAGGCATGAAGACAGATTTTTTTCTTTTTCTAGAAAACGCAGGAGTGATATGTCTGCCAGTTACAAAAGAATTAAGGGAACGTAGACTAGATGCAGAGCAAGTAACAGTCGCTGGTTGGGGAATAACAGAGCACAATACCCCATCATCGGTTCTACTTAAAGTGATTCTACCTGTGCATTCCGGAGAAATGTGCAGGGCTTATTACGGCAGGTAAATATCTTGATTCTTAGTAATTACTCATATTATCAGCCGCATAAACTAAACGAAAGGATGTTTCAAATACGCAGCCTCCAAAATTTTGAATAACATACCTCCTCCCCTGCAGATCATGAATACAAAATCATTTAGAAAGAAATGCAAAGTATGATTACTTGACCAACAAAAATTGGAGGCATGTATTAAGTAGCATATATAAATTTACCATTTTTTATATATGGGAGGGTTCAAACGAGCATACGGCTCACCTGATGGTTAGTGACTACCGCCGCCCATGAACAACTGCAACACCAGGGGGATTGTATAATTTGCATAGCACATATGAGTATACATTTCAGTCTTTTCTTTACGTTGTTTCATGTCAATGTCAAAATTAGATGAAGATATTGGTTTTTTTAAAAGTCAGTTGCGGCAGAATACCAGCGGTAACCTCAAATCACCACATAACTGAGTCATAGGACAGTTTGTCTCATTACTTTATGTTACCTAAGTATGTTTCTAGGATAAGTTTGTGATAATCTTATTTGTACACTTTTTACAACCTTGTGTGAAGTGAGACAATTAAAAAGCTTTATTATTATTATTATGGGGTATTTGTATAGTTTTCTCATCTGGTTGGGCTGTATAAATATATAATTGTAAATGAAAATGATAAACTTACATAAATATCAATAAAATAAAATAAATACATAAAAATTACATAAATATATAAAAACCCAACCAGATGGAAGCCCTCGGCAGGGGAGACCAAACGGCCGAGGGTTAGGGGGAAAGGGAAAGAAACCGGCGGACGATGCGGGCGGTATCGAGGAGCACCGCCTTCTGCATTTGAGCTTGGAGCGATCCGTCACGGAGTCCCAGTCGCCTCAGATGACCCGAGAGGCTGACTGGGATTAACCCGTTCGCAGAGACGACCACAGGAATAATTTCGGCCGGCAGACCACCCCACATGTCGGTCACCTCGTGAGCCAGGTCCAGATATTTTGTCAACTTATCTGTTTCGGCTTTCACGAGGTTCTCGTCATAAGGAATGGTAATGTCGACCAAAAATATCCTTGACTGTGCCCGGTCCATCAGCACAATATCAGGCTTATTCGCAAGAATAGTCCTGTCCGTGATGATGGCCCGGTCCCAATAGAGCCTGGCGCGGTCATTTTCGAGCACGGCTTCCGGCAAGTAATTATAATATGGCAGTTTCCGATCCACGAGACCGTATTTCAGAGCGAGCTCCTGGTGTAGAATCCTGGCTACTAGGTTGTGTCTGTGCAAATACTCAGAGTTAGAAAGCGCCGAACAACCGGAGATGACATGCCTAAGTGACTCACCGGGATGGCGACAAGCTCGACAGATGTCGACGGCGCCATCCTTTAGGATGTATTTCCGATAATTGTTGGTCTTAATAACCTGATCCTGTATCGCACAGAGAAAACCCTCGGATTCCCCAAAGAGGTCACCGAAACGTAGCCAGTGGAGGGAGGCGACTGTGTCTACGCAAGGCTCATGTAGAGCCTTGTAGAACCTCCCGTGGAGCTCCTTCTCCTTCCATACGGTCTCCCGGTCGGAAATGCTCTGTACTGCCGGGTCTTGCCATTGGTCGTTGGCTAAGGATAGAGGGGTAAGTCCTTTATCACAAGAAATAACGTCCCTATAGAATGGATCATCCGCTCTCGTCAGAAAGTAATTACGGAGGCTGCACACTTCGCGATTATGCATGGTAAGCGCGCTTAAAAAGCCGCGCCCACCATGCTTCCGCGGCAAGTACAGCCTCATTACTGACGATCTCGGATGATGCATCCTGTGGGACGTCATTATAGTGCGGACTTTTCTGTCCAGAGCGTTCAGTTCGGTCTGAGTCCACCTGAGCATTCCAAAGGTATACATGAGAACAGGCATGATCCAACCGTTATATGCATGTGTCTTATTAACGCCCGACAAAAGACTGTTGAACACTTTTGTCAAGCGTGCATAAAACACACCGCAAACTGACCGTTTCATGTCCGCCTCATCGATACCTATGTTCTGTGACATACCCAGGTATCGGTATGTTTCAGCCTCGGATAGGGTCTTTATGTTGATGGGCATAGATAAGTCTATGCCCTCAGAGTTAGCAACCCTACCCCTTTCGACATGGAGGACCGCACACTTATCCGTCCCCAGCTCCATTCTAATAGAATTGCTAAAATCACAAGTGATGTTAAGCAATTCCATAAGATGAGAGCGACTGGAGGCGAATAACTTGAGATCATCCATATAGAAAAGGTAATAATAATAATAATAATAATAATAATTATTATTATTATTACTATGTAGGTGTAATGAACTGCCGTAGATTAATGACAATAACAACTTCAAAATAAAGTTTCAAATATTTGTGATGCAACATTTTTACCATAGTATTAAATGGTAGATTAATAACACATTTCTAGTTTTAACCGACTTCAAAGAAACGAGGAGGTTTTCAATGTATTTTTTATGTGTGTTGCCTCAGAACTTGTGTCTAGGTGAACCGATTTTGATGATTTTTTTTTATTTGAAAGTTGGTGCTTCTCACGTAGTCCCATTTAAATTTTATCAAGATCTAACCAGTAGTTTTTGAGATATCCTTAATAATACTCATTTAATTGACTTTGACCACATTAATGATGTTCTCATTTTATTTATATTGAAGTCGGTTGTACAGTTTCTAATTTTACCACTTGCTGGAGGATACACTTTACACAAATAAATATTTTTATTATTTCCCGTGCAACAGCGGCGGGTGTCGTAAGAGGACGACAGAGGCCAATTGAATCAGGAGACAATAGGAGCATCTTCCCTAAAACAGCTTAATAAACATAAATAACTGCAGTTTCCAACTCGCTTACAAGCCTAGCAACTATGACATATATCACTTCTATGAACATGGCCAAGTCAATAATCATGTCTAACATTTATGTTATGTTAGTTGTAGGAAAAACACCGATCGAAGTTGTTGACGAGTATGTGCTTCCAATTCTGTACACTCGCTATATGTAACACAACAACATTAAGCTTCTATTTACAGCTGGTATTCTGTGAGAGTGTGGTCTCTTCTCAGTTAATGTGACCCATTCATATTGCAACTATAATATAGCTGCAGCATGGTTCTTCCACATTCAAACTAAACTTAACTATTGCCACATATAAACTACTAAATTTAAAATAACATTTTGCCTTTTCTTGTATTCCTTGCTTATTGTAATAATTTCTTGAAACTATCAAATTCAGTGTTATAATTCTTTAAACTGGCTATAGCTTCCTTTATTTAATTACAGTCTATCAAAATTCCAATGCTAAACATTGGTGTCATATTGCACCTGGGACAAAATGTCCGATTAGGTTATCGATTATAAGGAAACTCAGGGCCCACTGCTGGCCATATGGGGAAGCTTAAGGTCACTCAGCGAGCTGTGGAGAGGGCTATGGTCGGAGTTTCTCTGAGTGATAAACCTAGAAATTAGAATACTGGCAGTAGAATTACAGTGCCACCGACATAGCCCAAAGGGTTAGTAAGCTACAGTGACAATGGGCCATAAGCTCGAAGAACCAACAAGTGATGGGGTAGAAAGGTTATCGAGTGGCAACGTTGCACCGGTAAGCAAAGTGTAATGTCGCCCCCCACTAGATAAAGTGACGACCTTGTAATATATGCAGGAAATCGTTGGATCGAGGTGGCTCAGGTCAGTGCTCTGTGGCATTCTTTGGGGAAGACCTATGTTCAGCAGCGGCCTTGTAAAAGGCTGTAATGACCAATGATGATGATATCCAGTACACATTAACATCCAGCACCATTGACAACTATAAGTACAAATAAGAATGGGTGAAAATACGATGATTTCGATAATGATTTCTTATAATTACGCGAACACTACACATTGAATAAAACTATTTTTTACAGATTTTATCGCGTTTAAATTACTATTTTTAAAATAGTAAATTAAACGCGATAAAATCCGTAAAAAATAGTTTTATTCAACAATGATTTCGAAGTTAGAATTATGGAGAGTACATATATCTTTTGATGTCAAAGTAAAATTACAAGCCTTTACACATCATACTACTGAGGTTGATTCTATTTTCATTCTGAGAGGACTTAGACCATTCAATCTAAGAGAGGGAACCTAAAAGTACGCCCGCTATAACCATTTCTTCAGGTGAATATTTTTAATTATGTTTTCCTTGATTACCTAATTCAACAGTACCTATTTATAAATTGCATTGGTGCTGATAGGTATGAGACTTGTGTTACCCGCGTACACAAAAATTGCTTTACCACTCGGCTGCTGGAAACGTTTTAGGTTTTTCGTTAATGATTTTGGCTCTTGTAACATGTTGAAATATAAAATGTGCTTTCAGAAATTCGAAAGAAGACACGACGAATAATATACTTTGTGCTGGAGTGCTGGGGAAGGACTCTTGTAAAGGAGATTCTGGAGGTCCTTTGATGTTGGAAGGCAATTACGACAATGAATTCAAGTTTATCCAACACGGCATCGTTTCATACGGCCCAAGCCAATGCGGCTCGCACTTTCCAGGCGTTTATACAAACGTATCTTCGTTTATGAAATGGATTTTGGATACTATTAAACCGTAAAAATGTTCTTAATTTGTGCACTAAGCAATATACGAATAAAAATAATATGTTGACTTTTTAATTTTATGAATGATTTTTTCCGATTGTCTTAAACCAGTCAGTTGATAATTTAGTTGGTTGGAAGCTTTATTACTGTAATGTCTGCTATCTTCTCTAACCACTATAGTGTAACACAGGCTCGGCACGCACTTTAACTAAACAAGACGTCCACTCTCGCCCGAGGCTCTCGTGTAACTGACGCGGTGCGCTCGAGACAGTGACTTATATATAAATGTATGTTTGTGTATTTGTGCATGGTAAATTATTAGTAAATAACACAAATAACAATATTTACTGTATACTACATATATGCAAACACTACATCTCTTTCTTATCAAGATTTTTTTCTTTTTTTTTCATTATAACTCATAACAATCACAAAGCAGCTTGTATTGTCTGTATTAATTATTTTCCACTGCTTTTACGTAAACCTTATCCCCTGTATTACATCTGAGTGAGTTGCTCTCCGTTTCCTATATACATACTCTTTTCCTTTTCCTTTTTTGTATTTTGTCTCTATCCCTGATATCTGAATCTAAATGATTGTCTGTAATTTATTTCACCTATTGATGGAATTTTATCCCTACTTTTTCGTTGAAAAAACAGTTCAGACGGTAACCTCCCGGTAACTGTAAGGAAGGGTGCTGTTATACATAAGAAGATACTGATACGAAGACGTTTCAAATATCTCTGTTTTGTCTTTCAACTTCGCCGATCATTTGAGGCCAATATAGTACAGTACTAAATAACTTAATGTTACATTCTTTGCAGAAGGATCGAAACTCTTCACTTACGAGCTGCTTGCCATTGTCTGCGGTGATAGAAATAGCATAACCAAGTCTACTGAACATTTCTTTTACCATTTTAATAATCTGTAAGCTTGTGATGTTTTTGTAATTGTTTACTTCTTTGTATCGACTATAGTAGTCGACCACTACTAACAGATACTCGTTACTTGGCAACGGTCCCATTAGATCCATTGTGACATCTATCCATGGAGCTGCAGGCAACTCTCGTCTCTTCATTGGTGCAGTTGGGTTTGGCAAACCCACTAACGTACAACCTTTACAAGCCTTTACTAATTGTTCTACGTCTTTATCGATACGGGGCCACCATACCTTTGATCTCCAGCGTCCCTTCATCGCTACGATACCTGGATTACCCTCGTATGCAGCATCTAATACACTCTTGCAGAGTTGCTGTGGTATTACAATTTTATTTCCACGAAGTAGAATGCTATCATGGAAACACAACTCGTTTTCAAAAAATTTTGTAACTCTTAATCGAATCGTCTTAGTCGTTTTGATAGACACCTTTTTTCACTTTCTTGTTATTTTTCTGAATATGCTGCAATGGAACTCTTTGGTATAGCAACTGGTCTAGAATTTTCCACTATTTGGTACACATGCTGGTCTTTTCCTTTTGGTGGGTTATCAGGATAGTTACATAATCGTGACAAGGGATCAGCTATAATTGTTTTTCCTGGCTTGTATATAACCTTGAATGAATAAAACTGTAGCCTCAGTATCCATCGTTCAATCCTCGCACATGGTTTTGACTTAGACCCGAACAATATCTCTAGCGGCTTGTGGTCAGTGACTAAATCAAAAGGCTTTCCAAATAAAAATATTAAAATGTTCGACCCCCCAAACTAATGCTAGTGCCTCTTTTTCCGTTTGGCTATACCTGCGCTCGCAGTCTGTCAAAGTTCGATTACCATAGGCAATAATTCTAGGGCCATTTGTATCATTTTGTACAAGGACAGCACCAAGTCCGACAGGGCTAGCATCTGCTATCACCTGTCTTGCATCTCTGACGTCATAATACCCTAAAATCTGTATTTCCGTGAGCATCGGTTTGAGTTTTTTGGAATGCTTTATCTTGTTCCCCAGACCATTGTTTTTCCAAGCTCTCCCTTTTGCTCATCTTCTGTCTTAACATGTGCTTCAGAAGTTCTGTCATAGCGGCCATGTTAGGTATCCATTTGTTTATGTAGTTAAGGAGTCCTAAAAAACTTTGGAGTTCTTCTATGGTCTTTGTGACCCTAAATTAAAGGTTTGTACTTGTTGAAGGGTTTATTTACTCCTTCATGTGTAAGCCTGTGTCCCAGAAAATTCACATCCTGCGTTTTATATATGCATTTATTGCTATTCAGCACGGCGTTGTTTTTACTAAGTACCTGTAGAACTTTCTTTAGTCATGCGTCATGTTCTTCTTCACTGTTCCCGAATACCAGGATATCACAATAAAATTGACGACCCCTTCACAGTTTATCAGTATCCTTTTAATGATCTTCTGAAAAATCTCGGAAACGCAGGTAATTCCAAGCATTATTCTTTTATATCTATATAATCTTTTGGGGGTTATAAAAGTCGTTATGTGTCTGGATTCAGAGTGAATTTCCACTTCATGGAAGGCATTTTATATGTCTTAATTTGTTAAAATATTTAGCTTTCTTCATTTTAGGCAAAAATGGTCCATAGTAGGCAGGGGGTGGTTTTCTTGCAATATAACGGCGTTCGTACATCTCATATCTACGCACAAACGTAATTCACCATTTTCTTTCATGATTGGAACATTGGTGAAACCCATTTAGACGGGCCTTGCACTTCTTCAATTATATCACTGTTTAGTGATTCCTTAATTTTGATTGCAACCTTCTCTTTAAAGGGGATCGGCTTGCTTTTACTCTACACTTGATTTATCCCGATACCAAGTTTTAAGACACCCAGTCGGACTGCTGTGTTCTTACCAAACAGGTTTCTAGTACCCCCCGAAATCACGTAAATGGTTGTATTCCTTTCGTCCATCGACTTCGAGTATAGTTTCAAATGAACCCTCTATTGCCAAAGGAGAGTTACTACCCTATGCTAATAATGTCTTGTCTGGTCTTTACATTTGATTAAAAGCATATACTTTTTTGCTTTTTAACTCTTCCCACGTTTTGTAAGATATAAGGTTCTTGCACAATTTCGAATTACACTTTTCCACAATTTGATCTATGAAATGATCATCTTGCTTTTCAATGCACACTTTTCGGCTTGTTGACGCAATCTTATCAAAAACTTCTCAAATGTCTCTCCTTTTTTCTGTTTTAGCAATCGAAAAACATGCCGCTCATAAACTTTGCTCCGTTTAGGTTGAAAATACTCGTAGAGTTTTTTTTTGCTACTTAAAATACATCAACGGTTTCTTATATTTTTTTTCCAATTTAATGCTGGTATTTTAATACCCAAAGTCCAATTTAATGGTAGTAACTTAGTACCCAAAGTCCAATTTAATGGTAGTAACTTAGTACACAAAGTCCAATTTAATGGTGGTACATACCTTAGTACCCAAAGTCCAATTTAATGGTGGTACATACCTTAGTACCCAAGCTCCAATTTAATGGTGGTACCTACCTTAGTACCCAAGTTCCAATTTAATGGTGGTATCTTAGTACCCAACTCAATTTAATGATGGTATCTTAGTACCCAACTCAATTTAATGATGGTATCGTAGTACCCAACTCAATTTAATGATGGTATCTTAGTACCCAACTCAATTTAATGATGGTATCTTAGTACCCAACTCAATTTAATGATGGTATCTTAGTACCCAACTCAATTTAATGATGGTATCTTAGTACCCAACTCAATTTAATGATGGTATCTTGGTACCCAAACTCAGTTTCATGATAATAATATGTTCCATAACACTCGCCCTTCTCTTTTGGTTTATTTGTTATACCGACTACTCCCATCGCTGTGCCATTTAGGCTTTGGGTAAATTCAATACCTATATTGCGCATTTACCATTATTGATAACTTAGACAGCAATACCCTCGAGAAACGCCGTGATATAAGAGATCAAATGTTGTTGTACAAATTGCTTCATAATATCATCGACTCTCCCCTACTTTTAGGCAAGGTGAATCTTGCGTGTCACAGGTTAGGTGCACGAAATAAACCACTTTTTGCATTACCTAAAGTTAAAACAAAAAAATGCCTCAAATAATTTTGTATCTCGTACATGCAAAAAGTTTAACTTAAAATATTGTAAATATTAGATATTTTTCACCTTGAATATGATAGTTACAAATAAAATATTGTAAAACTTAATATATAATTGGTAGTATCACTTTGAGTTGTATATATAATGTTATTTTTAACTACTTACTACTTAATGTTTTAATTTATGAATACCATTTAGCTTGTTTTATTCTTTTATATTTTTAATTTTATACAACATAATATTGTGGTTTGCTTTTATTATGTATTAGATATCTGTGGAAACTTCATTGGTTTTTAGGATTACTTTTAATGTTTTATTATGTAATTTATTATTGTACTGTACGTTTCCCTTAAAAAGCAAATAAATAAATAAACAGTATTACTAGTTACCTACTTTGCAATGTACAGAAGTCGTGAAGTGTCCACGATTTTTTGTAAGACATATATGCCATGAAAGCAGTAAAATAGTATTTTCATTAAAGGCGATAAATATCACACCTACATGTAAAATGCCACTAAAATTTAGCTAACGACATTGTATTTAGGTTCGAATCGAGAGGAGTGATTAGTAACATCTACTATTTTTCCATCAAAAATCTTTTAAATAAAAGTTGTACTAATAGACATATGTTAAAATAAATCATTATTTTATCATTGCTACATAAAGAAAATAAATTTTTGCATACCATAAGCGTGGTCATTTGCGAACATATAATTTATATATGTTATTAAAATGATCAGAACAGGGTTAAAAACAATAAATCATAATTCATAATCCACAGTTTTTTTCCGCGGGTACTCTAGGAATTAATTTACTATTGCAATTCTAATAGTTGCACATTGCTAACCTATTTTTGATTATATCTTTATACTAAATAGGTACTTATCTTTTTCCTCGTCGCCACTTGTAATGTCTGCTATCTTCTCTAACCACTATAGTGTAACACAGGCTCGGCACGCACTTTAACT